CTTCCTGTTTCTGGTCCGAGCCCTCCAATAGTATCTCACTCACACTGCCTCTTTCAGTTTTTCCCATAACTGCTTGTTTATTCTATGGAATCCTTCTGTTTCTCAGGACCTCTCTCCCATTACACTTACAGGTTGGCTTCACCAGTTAATTAGTTTGGTGTATTCTTCCCTTTTGCCGAGGAGTGTTGCCTTTTTTGGGTATCTTCTCATCAAACCTGTCACCTCACCATGTCCCTGGCTGTCCATTTCCATAATCCTTTGGAGATCTTCATTGGTGCTGGTATGTGGACTACACTAATTGTTTCACATTATTTATATCATGTGGTCGTTTCTTTCTCAGTGGGTTTTCTTTTACCTCCAGTTACCATCTTACACACCTCAGTGTCGTTATGACTGGTGAGTACTATGTTTTACTTATTTTTTTTATTTACAAGGACCTTTTTTGCTAGTGTATTGTGGATCTCACTCTGTACAATTCCAGATGCTGCCAGGTGTTGTCATCTATGCTGAACCAATTACATCACAGGATTAGATTACACACATGAGATGGGGTGTTTCTTGGACCACTAGTGGTTCTCTCTAGTGGTATTTTGCTTCATAAATATGTTTGTCCCAGACCCATCACCCATTGCACTATTTCTGGTGATGTGGTCCTCTGGACTCTCCAATGCATTTTTCCCTCCTTTTCTCCTTTCCTCTCATAGAGTATGTGAGTCCTTGCCACTTATCAATTCCCAGCCTCTGGGGTGGTGGACCATGGAGGCCTGTCCTCCTGAGTGATAAACCATGTCACTCAGTTGAGAGTAGGGCAGTGGCATTTTGTGGGTGTCAATAGCATATAGTGCTTCCTACTGAAGATGTTCAATTCCAGATACCACCATGTTTTGCTTGTAGCACTACACCATATTCGTACATATATATCTGTAGCAGATTGCTTTTTCCCACTATGGCATTCCTCCTTCCTATAGTGGGTCTGGTGTTGGTTGGAGATGGCCCAGTCTTGATTACCATCATGTGTTGATGGCATGACTCCCTTCCCATAGTGGGCCTGATGTACAATTCCAGATGCTGCTGGGTTTTGGTTGATGCACTCCACCATGTCGTGACTGTATATATATATTGCAGTTTGCCTCATGGGCTGAGACGTTCCTCCTACCTACCATCCTCCAGATGTGGATCCCGAGGGATCGGGTGTTGGTTGGAAATGGTCCAGCTAAGTAAGTCCTCGCATGTGTTCTGGCCCGTATCCCTCCTCTTATTGTGAATTGGATGAAAAATGCCCAATGCCACCAGGTTTTGGACCAGAGGTGTCATCCCACTGGGGTTTTCCACCTTGCTACCATCAGCTGGATGTCGGTTCATGGGGGAACAGGTGTTGGTTGGGTTGGAAATGCATGCATGTGGAGATGGATTCTGGTATGGAAGCTTGTCTTCCCTACCAATTTCCATTTTGCGGTGAAGAGGTAGGTGATCCTCTGCCTACTGCAGAACTGATATACAATTCCAGATACTGCCAGATGTTGGATGAGGTCAAACGAACACTTTGATCTGTTGAGCCCTATCCACTCAACATCCAGGAATCCCATTAATAGGTAATACATATTATGGAATTCCTTCATGTTTTTCTACCTTTAAGGTTCATGACACAGTCATAAAAGAGTGAAGAGTATAACTGGATCAGATGTTGTTCAGTCTCCTGCTGTGGTGTGATATTTTCATCTTGGTTCCACACCTCATGGTCTCTCTCTTTGGGCTCTTCCTAAAGGAGGCTCATTTTTTCACTGGCCCTCCACCAGTTCTAGCTACTTTGTGAGAAGAGGTAAGATATTGAATCGGAAGTTACAGTTTTCCTAAACTGAAAATGTATTTCTCATAGATACTTACTTCCTCTCACATTTCCAACCCAGCCTCCCCACTTCCAGTGTTATGTGGTGTAGGTTCTATGACCAATCTCGAAGTGATTAACGAATGCAAATGTGGAGAGGTTGCTGGTTACAATAAGGGTTGTGTTGTGCTTCTATTGGTGGGGAGCTACTGCATAATCATTTACATGTGGATATGCAGTAGTAGGAGGTGGGAGGCTAGTGGCGAGCATTGAAAATTTGCTCCAATACAGGGCAGAACTAATCTAGAAATGCTATTTTATGAGAAGAGGAGGTAATTATCTATCAGAAATACATGTTCAGTTTATAAGAGAAATCATCTACTAACCAATGAATATACATCAGCTCTCTTGATGAAGTTATTAGTAATGAACAGCATATATTTATTACCTCATTAAGTCTCTGGAAAAGGACTGGCAACATACAGCCCTATTCTCTCTCTAATGAAGAACCAAAACTCTCCTGGATTTTACCCTGTTTCTGATGTTTGTTCCACTAGGCAGCATGCTCAGTACAGTGCTTACACCATCGTTGAATGTCTTGATGCAGATGCACATGTAAAAAATCTCCACACCATGGTGGTCTTCTCTTGAAAAATCACTTCTTGATGGTTCAGAACATTGAGCAATTACACCTTCCTGCAATCATTGCTGTTCATACAAGTGCCAGAGATTATGTGCATCCTTACTATGCTTATTGCCCTGCATTGCCATGTTTCACCTGCTGCATGGCAAGTATGCCATAGTTAGATTTGGGGCCTTCAGTTGTTCATCCTGTAGCTCCTGAAGAATCGTATATGGTGATCATCCACTATAGTGAAATCATCATGGAATGTATGTTTTGAAATCAATTCTACTATACAAGGGGCAGAACATTAAGAAAATAGACAAACTTTCTTCATTTGGCAAGACAATCCATTGGCATTTCCATGTTGCTTGCCCATTCAATAATGTATAACACAGTTGTACTTTTTCAATATTGTGATCCAATTTACAGTCATTCCTTCCAACTTTTTAAAGTTCAAAGGCCATTTTGGTAATGCATAGTTCACACAAACAATGAACTGCTTACCATTCTAATAGTGGCAATAATGTTTGTGATATACTAAAATTGCAAGTAGTTATTTCATTATCTTGCAGGTTCTGTGTTCAGATCTACTGATAAGTTTACAAGTAAGGATAGTAATCAAAATAACTAAGGAATGGGAGAAAATGTAATGTGGGATTAAATTGAATTCCTGACTTCACTGAATTATAGAATAGAGACTGGATGCATTATAAAGAAAATTAATCTTTATTTTCAAAGTAGTGACGTGTTAAAACTAAAGAATGTACAAAACACTGGACAACACTAATCTCTGGAATCTGGTGAGATTTCTATATTTAAAGAACACCTGAAAGAAATAGAATCTTGACTGAGAGAAACAGCCATTACACACATGAATGGATATGATCAACTCTCCTGGGGTATATGTGCTACTTACCTCATTTATCATTCCATAAATGGAAATGGAGAGAACTGATATTTCTAAATTAAACCATAATGATATTACTGGAAAAAACAGGTACAATATCCTCTAATCCTTCTTTTAATCTTCTCTCCTGGATTTCTGGCTTGCACCATTTCTTTGTGATATGTTTTTCTTATAAATTAGCATCTTGAGCTGATGCAGCTCTTCAGCAATCATCTCTTCTCACTTTAGTTTGTTGTCCCTAGGACCAGGGGGCCTCACAAGGCTTCTCATAGTATATGGCCTCATGGGGTTGCCCCCTCTTTTGTTTCTTGTTCAATCTCCTTTTATATGCTTTTGACATATTTATTTATCTTCTCTCTTGTGGGAACTGTCACTAACTTTTGTCTTGGTCTCCTCCTGCACTATCTAATACAAAGATTTATCTCTTTGCCTAACTAACCCATAATTTTGGTGGCTTGGCAGGGTGATTGGTCTTGGGTTCATCTTGGGACAGAGGTCTGGAATGCTTTTCTTTTGTTCTACCTCCAATCCTACCAGTGAATACTGTAATAACATTAAGCAAAGAGTATTCCCTTCTTGAGATGGATATGGCTTAGTTTCAAGTGCTGCACCACTAAGCTACCCCCTACCTTGTGAATGTAACACTTCATGGGCTTTCTCTATCTGATGCTGTTTTCAGAAAGGAGCTCATCTATGTAATGTATTTCTATGCACTGGTCCCTCCACCATCTTCATTGTAGGATTCTAGCTGTTTGTGGTGCATAGAGGTTAGTAGCATTTTTGAAGTTAATATTTTCCTTATCTGAAAAAGTATTTCTTCACTATGTCCCACCCTTTCTCCCACTTCTGTTGCATATAGTTTGCCTCACCTAGAATGAGCCTAAGATCATGTGCTAGTGCTCATGGAGCAATACACATGACATGTATAGGGGTGGAAGGTTGGTTCAAGGCTTGTGGCATGTACAGGAATTTGCACAGCAATGTGTATGAGCAAATTGCTCTTTGTTGTGCAGAGTGGTGAGTATCTATCTGAAATACGTTTTCAGGTAAAGAAAATGTGAAATTCTTTCTTAATCATTATTATGCTAATACAACATATTATCGTGTTGTTGAGCTGTCTCTTAATTTTGTTTATTCATGATGCCAGCTCAGGCCCAGTTAGTTAACTGTAAAACTTCTCTCAGAGTGAGACAAAATGATCAACACTGACTGGTACTGAAGTCTTTGTCATTGTAACGATGGTCATGTAAATGAGTTGGGTGTTATATGTAATTAAGTGTTGATATGACAGTATGTAAATAAGCCTATCACTCTCTGTAAATATGTTGATAATATGTTTTTCAGTAGCCAATTATTATTTTTTAACTGAGTTGTAATCTCATTGTGTGGTATCAAATGAAAATATGCATACAAAAAGGAAAGGGAACTTAAACTTGGTTAGAGCTTATACGTGTTATGAGTTATATTTAATAAGAAAGTTCATAAGTGTTGTGTTATTAAGTTTATTTTGTGATAATTTACAAATTTAGGTTTTTTTTTTCTTTCTGATACTTTTTTCCTCACTTCTTGTGTAATGGTTATATTGTGAAATCAGAAGTTTTAGAGTTCACTTGTAAAACTCTAGGCCTGGTATTTTTGAATTGTGAGTTTAGTTATATTTAACTTATGGAGATTCTAATAAATATTTTGTTTTGAAGAATCCGTATATATTAATGTTTTGATTATTTGTAGTATAGAATAAAAGATTTATCACGCTTATAGATTGTTCTAGCTACATTAACTTCTGAATAAGTTGATTTTCTGCCTTGATTTTAGACAGTAGACTGTTCTTCTTAAATTGGTTTCTGAGTATCTTGATGTTAATTTTTATCTTTAGAAAACTCGATGCTAAGTTTGCTAAAAAAATCTTCAGAGATAATCATGTCTAATATAGGTGTTTAGTCAATATAAAATAATCTGCTCATTGTGTATCTTTGTACAACAGGAAGATAATTTATATTTGGTATTAATCTAATTTACATGTATTGTTTTGATTTGGTTTTTGTTAAGCGCAAAGCTACAGAATGAGCTATCTGTGCTCTGCCCACCATAGGTACATATATTGGTCATTGTTTCACCAATACAGAATAATTATGACAAAAAACTAAAGATCAGTATTAGCACAAGTAACGATGAGATTGACTTAGTAAACTTCACAATTTGTACAATCCTCTTTACTTTCTCAAAAGAAACAAATGAAAAGTTTCATTCTACAAATGGAGGTAACCTTTTCAGTATAACAGTTGCCCCACAACTTCATATAGTCGCTCTAAAACGTGCTACAGCTTGTTCTGATCAGAAGTTAATATTAATAAACAAAGAATATTTTGTAATTAGAAAACAAAGTTTTACATATTTAGAATTACAATGAATGTCAAACAGATACTTATCTTTGAAGTACAAAAATAGTCTTTCCTTGTTGAGTTGTTCTCATACTGTCAACATACTTGACTAAAAGTCTAAATGTCTTTGACACATTGCAGAGAATATGTCAACTTACCCATGGTTCTCAACTCTCCCATCCTTCCATGTGACTTATTATACTTGCGTCAGGAGGACATATATAAGCTCTGCATTTTCTCCATAATTCAGGTTTTGTAGTTTCAGTTGTTATAGAGGTGGGTGAGAATGTATTTCAGAAGTAAGTGCCTTTTTGAAATTCATTTTAATTCTAAAAATGCAAAATTCCAAACAGGTACACTTAGCTCTGAAATACGAAAAGCTAGAATACCCACATTGAGATGGAGGATGAAACCACAGTAGATTAAATGAACTGGATCCATGGGAAAAAACAAGGGCACTAGACCAGCCTCAAAAGAGACTGAACCAAATGAGAAAACATAGAAAATGCATTCTTCTCAACAGGTTATTTCCTGATCTTCACTGCCCTTTGAATAATATATAAAAAAGAGTAGTCAGGTAGTATGTATTTACCTGTGGAACTATCCCATTCTCAGGTGTAGTCTGGTCATGATCAGATAACAATGCAATGTCCTGTAGCTGTAGTGAAAGTAAACTAGTAATATCCAATGACTGGACATATTCCTGATGGTTAAGGCCCTCTCTATCCACATCTGACAAGGTCAGCCAAATCACATAATCAGCCCAGTCAATGGGCACCCAAGTAGAATAGAAAAGACTCAGGCATTTTCAAGGATGGGCTTTACAACTCAAGGCAAGAGCAAATAAATAGGTTAAGAAAATTAATCAGGATCAGTCACATTAGGTAACACAGCGGGTGAAGAACAGTGGTTATCTTCTCTCACAGCCTAAGTTTCAGGTAGGAAAGCATGATCAGGATACAAGTGTGAGACTTCCAAAGAAAGTAAAATATATGGAGCATAAATATCAGGATATCATCTACTTGATATCAGTAATGAAAGAAATTATGATGAAGCAACAAGTTGTTAAGAGTTTAAAAGATGGAGAGGCCAAGAAATATAATAACACATCCATGTTCCATTTACATTAATGCCTAGGTATTCTGGTTTATTAAAGATGAAAGGCTCAGAAGAGGTCTTTCAATAATAGGGACAAAAGATATTGGTGACTTCTGTGGCATATGAAGATGGTAGGTAAGACATGTAACTACTTAGAGAAGTGGATAAGCCAAGGCTATCAAATGCATAAAGAAATAATAGTTTAGCTGGCAAAACAGAGCAATGAAAAGAACCTGTCACAGGTATGTTGAACAATCCAGAGTTCTAATTCATTGTTGTGATCTACTGCTTCTTAAGTAATCCAAGAATCAGAATGATGTTTATTCCTCTACACTATGTTCAAACCCTTAAGATAAGTATCTGTGAAAAAATGAAGGTCACAAAGAAGAGAAAGGAATAGAGATCCTTCTGTTTTTGATAGAGAGTCTGAAATCAGATGGAACTAAGAAACAAGGTTCAATTAGAGGTAATGAATTGTGGGTATGCCTCAAGGGAATGTCTTTGTGAAGGGAAGCTATTGTCCCCAAAGCATAACTGATGTATCAAATGATAGATGTGGAAGAAAGAAGAGTATTAACACAAGATGTCAAGGCTTACAATTCCATAGGAGATAGCTGAAGTATTCCTTGAACTGGTTAATCCAAAATAACAGACATATCACATACTATGTTGGTACTAAACGAGATTTGCAGTTTTGGATAACCCATCCATGAGATATAGATAGTTGAGTATGCAAATGAGTGTGTGGAAGATATTGAGTGGAAGAGTATGTCAGAATAAGCCAATTGTCCATGTAAAAGTGAAAATCAATGTTGAGGTAATAAAGAAGACCATCAACTGCATTGACTGCTTGAAAGAAAATATATGGAGCCCAGGCCAAGCAGAAGAGAAGGGCATTATACTGATAAACAAAGAAAACAGTGTGATGATAAATGAATAGGGACAGGAAGATAAACATCTTTTATATTTCATTTTGTCACCTAGGAAAAAAAACGTTTAAGGTCAGCTGAAATGATGGGGAAGATGAGCACCTTTCAATAAAGCACAAATGGCTAAAGTTTCAAAGGAACATAAGAGCTGCAAGGTAATAGAAACAATATCAGTTAGACACATGATTAGTAAAGACTGCAATGTATATATTTGATACTGACTAATAGAATAAGGCAAATGAGAATAGCTAATAACTATGCAGAAGAAGAAAGTCTCAAAATAAGAAAAATCCTAGTATGCAGGCAAAATACTGAAATTGGGTTAAAGTAAAGGACCACATGAAAAACCTCCACATTAATATCCAAAATGAGGATCAAGAACTTGAGAGGTAACATAAATAGCAGAATATGAAGTCTAGTATTATTTTGCTTGTTTGTAAAGCATCAGGAATAACTGAAATGTCAGGAGAAAGAAGAATAAATAAGGATTCAAGTACTGAATCAACTGACATGATATTAGCACTCTCAAGTGTAACAAAAATTTACTTAATATTTAAAATAGAACATACCTGAGAGAAAATAAAAATAAAACCAGCAGAAGGTTCTTCAGGGTTATTGCTAGTGAACAGTACTGCTCTGCAAACACTGAACTCAAGTAAGCATAAACAAAAGTCAATCCTGATCGAACTTATGAAAAATGGCAAAGTATTACACAAAATGAGTGTCCATAAAATCTGGAAACTTGCCAGGAAAACCAGTACACAGTTTGTTACTGGTCAATTAGGGCTCACAATGCAGTCAGTGGATCACCCTACATCAGGCTGTGTGAGTAAGGCCTTCTGATATTGTTGGAAATCTTTGCATCAGAATTAACATTTACTTCTAAACTCATTGCAGCAAGGATAAAAGCACTACTTTCAACAAGAACATCTGAATTATGGCAGGATAACAGAATTTGTATACCTCGTGCTGACAAAAGTGCAATAAGTCTTGTAGTAGGTGGGAGTATGGAGGGCTATGCCATATGCTCTGCACTGTGTCAGGAACATTTAGAATTTAACTTATTTATTTGTTGAATGAGAGCAATTCAACATGGAAAAGCTTTTTGTATTTCAGAGGTAAGTCTGCTTGTTTAGAATCTATATTTACATTATCATAATCATATTCCAAATCATTGATTAAAGAGATAAATACTAGAGTTGCACTCTCACATAGTTAAAGATTTAATGCTGTTTAAATGTATCTAAATTTTTTATAAGATGAACTTTCCACGTCAAATTATCATTCAGATTATGGCAATGCCAAGAATGTAAACAATAAAATAATGTTTCTTTAAGATAATCAATAGTGCTTATAAGTTAGGATCATAAACATGTTCAAAGCAATAAAGTAGACCACTATAGGTGTTTTTTACATGAAAATTTTGTATGTCCATTTGCATTTTGTACTTTTCAGTTTGACCTGCATGTAAATGCTTAGAGTAAGACAAAAACCAAAAATAAATACACTTATAACTGAACTCTCTTCTGAATCTAAAAATGACATTATCACACTGAAAAACTTTACCTTCAAGCAGATTGTTAGAACTACCTACACAACACTTTTTATCTTTATATTTTTGAATATCAGTATTTTTTAATAAAACAAACTGAAAAGTACATTGAAAAGAAATACCTTTACCTGAATAGACATAAATGACAAAGAATAGTATTTTTAGAAATTTCTGTAGGCATACAGACATTAGTTGACAGTTAATTCTCTACATGAAATTTGAAGCCTCAACATTGTTAGAAATTATCAGACAGTTGCTATTTGATATACAATCTTACTGCATTTAGGGTAATCTACTATGATGAACTCTTGTGTTAAAAAAACTGAAGGTTTCTCTTAGCAATTTAACTAGTAGTAATAACTACCTCAAATAATTAATGTAGGAGAACAACTTTATAACTAAATTGGTTTATCAACTAAAGGAACAAGAAAACTGAAATTATAGTTGATTTTAGGAGCTTTTTTCTTCACTAAATGTGCATAATGAATCAGTTTCACTAACAGTATATCATTATTTACAGCTCATGAACATGAATACTGTCAAAATCAAAATGGTTAGAATTAAGCTCTAACTGAGTCCACTAATCTTAAAATGAATTGGTTTCAAAGACATTATATCGGTATTTATAGGCTATGGACATATCAGTACCATCAAATTCAAAATGGTTATAGCTGAATTCTGATTGGATCCAGTGGTCTTAAAGAGTTACATTTGGTGTCATACTATGACATGCAGGCATAGCATGTGTTTCTAACCCCTAAGTTAATATGTAAATGTCTCATAATTTATGTGCATATTGAATATGTTTTTCTTAATACTTCTGTTGCTCTAGGGAGCCAGTAAGCTGCTTTTGTCATAAACAGGGCAACTAGGTTGTCACATATTCTTTATTATAAGAAGATTGTTATAATTTTAAACATACTACATAGAAATCAACAATAATATTTCCCACTGGTGAGTTAGGTGGTGCCCCAGAGATAGAGCCTCTCTTATTCTGTAATTAGAGTGACTGTAAGTCACATGGGTAGTGCCTGAATCCTGAGAAGAATTACATTGCTGTTTTACATATATAATGCCATGCTTTCTCAGTCTTGAACAGATTTTTACATTAACATAAAATTTAAGGTACCAAATTATTGCAGATCTTGATTTGTCTATTTAGTAAAAGTGACACTAAATACACTTGTTTATTTGTTGAAAATAAAGATTGTGTCATTAAGTAATACATTGTTTCCAGTCTCTTTCTTTATTTCAAACCCCAGCAAAGTTAAAAGAACTCATATTTTGCTCTGCAAGACATTTTTTGTTGAACCTCCAGGTGTTATACAGCAACTACTTAAATACTTGCAGGGAAATCAGTGAACCTAAGAATAACACAATCCTTCTCATTAGTCAGCAACCTACACTATAGGGAATTCAGCTCTATTTTTCAAGCAGTGTAATGTCAAATTGTAATACTACCTGGTGAGTTAAAATATTAACCAAATTTGCACAGGGTCATTCCATTGGAACCAACCCTACATTGGAGAAGACATATTGACTAAAATCCCAAATTTACTACATGTATCTAAATGAAATGTAGCATGCTTTTACTAAAATGTGCAATTCTGTAGTATGAAAAAATCAAATATGTTACTAAAGTATTTATTTGTGAATTGATGATGTCAGCCTGACTCAGATTCTGACAAGTTGAAGTGCAAGGTGATATTTGTGTGAAGGATTAAAATGTTTTTGTCCAAATATATATTTACACATTTTTTAGTATCCCTTTATATTATACCTGGTATTTTTTCTCTTCCCCCATGAGCTGCATTTAAACAAGCAATGTAGAACATAATGAATAGTTTATAACTCTGACATTAAATACTTAATACTATGTTGAATGTCACTCTGTGAAAGGTTGTAGCATGCACATTTTGGCCCTTGCCTGTGCCCATAGTGTTAACGTATGCAGCATCCCATTGGTATTTGTTCTATGGGATTTGGGTAAAGATATCTTGCTGGCCAGTCCACATGTGGCACCAGGTATTATATTCTACATGAGAACAAAGTTCTTTCTTTAAGATTTTGAAAGGTTGTTCAAATGGGTCCAATCTAAAGAGGAAATGGAGATACACTTAGCACATGTAGAATGTACCAAAACACCCAATCAATTCATTCTTACCAGAAAACATGTGAACTATTCACTTAAGTAATGATATGTTGATTTTTTTTTTGGAATGGTATAATGGGTTAGTGTATATAATATAGCTTTCACTTGTTGTTTTGTTCACTTAGGTGATCCACAGTGGTCTTCTGAAGAATATTTCAGCTCAGGAACTTAAGTTACAAGAAGCAATGTTTGAAATCATCACTTCTGAGGCTTCATACCTGAGGAGTTTAGATATACTTGTAGAACACTTCATGATGTGTCCTGAGTTAATGAACTCTGCAAACTGTGTCTTGGACCGCATGGAAAGAGAATATCTTTTTTCTGACATCTTACCTGTGAGGAATGTTAGTCAGGGGTAAGTACAGTCTACTGAAGTATGTAAATGGTAAATGCAACTTTCCTATAAGGAATGTTATAGGTTAGTCAAAGGTAAGTACAGTTTTTTGAAATATGTATATATGCCATCCATCTTACCTGTGAGAAAGGCTAGTTAGTAAATAAGTACAGTCTACTGAAGCACATAACTATACATGTATTTTATCCCTTAGAAAGGTTAGTCAGGGGTAAGTACTATCTTTTGAAGCATGTAAATACTGCATGTATCCTGCCCAGTGCCAAGATTATGATATTCTGAGACCCTAAGCTATGCAGAGTTTAAGAGGTCCCATACAATAAAAAAACTGAAATGGAGTCAGTTTTTTTCTTTTTTAGAGGCAGCTAAGAGGCCCCATATATTGTGAGGCCCTAAACTATAGCTTAGTTAGCTTATACCTGAATCTGGCACTGATCCTGCCCATGAAGAATGCTATACAAGAGTAAGTACAGCCTTTCAAAGCATATAAATACTACATGTATCTTTCCATGATGAAGGTTAGTTAATGGTAAGTGTAGTCTGTTGAATCATATAAATACTACATGTATCTTTCCATGATGAAGGTTAGTTAATGGTAAGTGTAGTCTGTTGAATCATATAAATACTACATTTATCTTTCCATGATGAAGGTTAGTTAATGGTAAGTGTAGTCTGTTGAATCATATAAATACCACATGTATCTTTCCATGATGAAGGTTAGTTAATGGTAAGTGTAGTTTGTTGAATCACATAAATACTACATGTATCTTTCCATGATGAAGGTTAGTTAATGGTAAGTGTAGTCTGTTGAATCATATAAATACCACATGTATCTTTCCATGATGAAGGTTAGTTAATGGTAAGTGTAGTCTGTTGAATCATATAAATACTACATGTATCTTTCCATGATGAAGGTTAGTTAATGGTAAGTGTAGTCTGTTGAATCATATAAATACCACATGTATCTTAGATATGAGTTATGTTGGTTATGTTGGTAATGGGTAAGTGCAGTTTAATGAAGCAATCAAATACTATGTGCATCTTATCTATAAGGAAGGTTAGTCAGAGGTAAGTACATTATTTTAAACATGTAAATAATATGTGTAATTTGCTGGAAGGAATGTTAGTCAGGGGTGTGTGAATATAAAGTTGAGCTTCACTGGATTGGCCCAATAAAGAGATGATTCAGTGAAAATATTGATTAGAGAATAGCACTAAATCTCTTACTAATTAATTATACATGTATATACTAAATGTAGACACACTTGCAGTTTACTTACATTGTATTGCCACTTTTACTAGATGTTCTCAACTTCTGTCAGACTGATTAATACAAGGTTTCTTAGACTCAAAGAAACCTTGCATTTACCCAGTATGACATACATTACCACATGACATAGGTGGGACCATCACCCCTAGAAATCACCTGTACAACTTTTTAAGGACACTGCTGTTGACATCCTTTCACATGGCTGCTTTAAGCAATGTTCTCTTGTAACAGGTATTACCAAAGTCAAAAATAACAAAGGCACAAAAGTAACTTGAAACAAGCTCAACTTAATGTGGTTTTCTTGGCAATGTGTTATGTGAAATTTGCACACATTCAAAGCAAAGAATTAATTTAGAATAAATGCTATAATACTACAAAAAAAAGAAATGCATGATATTTTTATTTACCACAAGTGTAGTCTATTAAATCATGTAAATAACATTTTTTGTTTGTGTCTCTCCTTTATCTGTGTTAGCAATGTAGATTTTGTTGGCTAGTACTTATAACTATATTGTCTTGTTGCTTAATACAGTAACTCTTTCAGTAATGGAAAAGATAGTTTTTACATTGAATTCTTGTTTGTGTAGATGTAACACCATGTATTCTGTGTCTACATAATAAAGAGATTACTTGAATATACAGAAAATACTACAGTTAAAAGAGGTGTACAGTTTTCTCTAAAACTACATGGCAGACAACAAGAATGACATCACGTATACTCAAAAATAGAATGACATTGATGCAGCCATGGGGTTTTTAGATGTTCAATTTCCACAAACATGCTTTGTAGGTATTGTTGGTAACAATGAAAATATTGCTTGTGTATGTTATATGTTGGCAAGCATATGTATTCTACATGATCTTTTTTATCACAATTTCTAGGTTGTTGACTGATTTGGAGAAGAGATGGAAAGAAAACCTGTATATATCTGACATTTGTGATATACTGTATGAATATGCATCTTGTCACTTCTCAGTTTATGTAAAGTATTGCACCAACCAAATTTATCAAGAAAGAACTTTCAAACAATTAAAGTAAGTCATGCCACATCATTTTTATATTTTGACCAGCATAAGGTAAATCCATGTCATTGTTATGTTCCAAGTTATGATAAATAATATCTTATCAATTGTATTTTAACTTGTCTAAAATATCATATCATTGCAAGTAACCTTACTGCCAGGGTATGAAAAGTTAAATATTTGTTAAACACAATGCAGTCTATACAAAATATTAAACAGTAAAGTAATACCAAAAGTAACATTGTTAATATCAAAGTCATGAAATAGTGATAACAATAATAATAAATCAGAAAAAAAGAACCATTAGAAAGAAAAAATGATTCACAACATTATTCAAAATAACAATAATTAACATTTTCTTTACCTGACAATGTATTTGAGAATGATACTTACCTCTGCACGGAATAAACAGCTAACACCTCAAACCACTACTGAAAAGTTTTGTGCATATGCTAAGCCTTTAAACAATCTACATGTAATTTGGCTTTAGGCCCAGAAATAATAGATATTTGGTGTATCATCTGATTTTCTGACTCATAAATATCCATTCTATGAAATAATATACTAATAATTGTATTTTATATATCAGAAAGATAATCTGGTCTTTGTTAGTTTAGCAGTGTATTGTCATCTGTCTTGGTGGTGTTTGCTTTGTGCAAAAGAAAATATTATGATCAATCTCTTGAAATATGATAATCAACTACATGCTCTGTTTAAAACTTATTACAATATTTTAGGAAGTCAAAACCAGAGTTTGTTCAGTTGTTAAGAAGATTAGAGGCTGATCCAGTATGCCAAAACTTGGACATGCATTCATTTCTTATTCTGCCAGTACAGCGAATAACTCGTCTCCCATTACTAGTGGATGCAATTTTCCACAGACTTCCAGAAGACTCACTAAAGTATGAATCTTGCAAGCAAACTTTAGCAGTGTTAAATAAGGTGTGTATACATTAGGAATTGATGTACTTCTACAAGTTGATATGGACAACACTGATTTTAGTGATGAATACACTTTCAAATTTAAACTAAATTTCATAATACTGAAGTTCTATGTTGAATACAATACTATAAAGATTTCAGTAAATGTCAAGTTTAGAATCAAACCTTAATAACAGAATTTGATTTGTATATGTTATTTGTAAATCCTTTCCAAAGATATTTCAATAACTCCAACTTTAGAGCCATATTTCAACACCAGTTGTTGCATTAACAATATGCCTGTGTTTACAAATTAACTGGGGATATGTCACTAAAGTTCATAAAACGATGTTACTAATGTCTGAGTAGCCACATCTCAATACTCGGGACATTAGTACTTATGTTAATACTATGTAAATGTTTACAGCTGTAATGAGGATAGTTAAGTGAATTGTATATTTTTTTAAAAAGAATGATATTACTGTTAGGTAACAAATTTTACATTTATTTTGTTATGGTTTTGTTTACCGTTCATTTATTATTCCTTCTATTCTTTAGTTCAACAATGAATTTTTAGTTATATTAAAGTGTTAACTTACCTTATATCTAAAACATCTTGATTTTGAGCATGTTTATATATATATATATTATGAAACTAACACAAGCTTCCTCTTGCAATGATGTACAGATATTAATGTTATAAAAATTATTTAGATTTATGGTAATAGCTAGTCACATGGGAAATAACCTCATGGTCTAAACACTAAATAAAAAGTCTTCCTTGATCTTGAAAATGAGTAAGTTCACGAGATATTGTTCTTGATATTGAGAAGTGGTTTCATTTTGGGACATTGTGTTATTCTCTGGTGAGTTAGATCTTTTTTTTTAGGTATTTATTAAAATTAATAACATTGAGATTTATGCTAGATCAACTAATTTTACTAAATGGTGAGTTAAAAGGATTTAACTACTTCTTAAAATATTAACCAGTGTTTGTCGATCAAGACATTGCAAGGTTTTCTGTCAATAAGTGCATGGACTCATGGACAGTTTTGCTCATATAATGAACTACTTACCACATTTGGAGTAGATGGAGTATTCCCAGCTAATTTCATTTTTTTCAATTTCTGACTAGTTGTTTGTTGAACATTTGATCTGATTGAACTTGAAGATTCATACTTACGGTATTGTATCCTAGGATTATGAACAGCTGTTGATTCCTCACAGACTTGGCTGTAATGGCTAGGTTTCCCACATCTATAGCAGTTCCCTTTCTCTGGCAATTTTTTCGAGGAATCTTTATTCTATAAAATCTTTTGTATGCATGTTTTATCAATATCTATTTTGAAGTTACACTTTAAAAATCCTATATTTTGTGGTTTATTTCCTCTATTCTGTGTGACTAGTTGCCTAGCTAATTCCTTCATTTCTTATAGACTATCATTAGGAGGAGTTGATGTTTCATTTCTACTTGATTTAACTGTCTTGTAACTTTGAGATGGTACATTTAGTTGTTTATCTGCAGCTTTAATGAATTCAAGTTCCATCACCCTCTGCAGAGCTTCCTTTAAAGATGTGCACCTACTTCTATCCTTGTCTGTTATGGCACCTATAAATTGGTCACGTGCCAACAAATATGTGGATCATCTGGATAAGATAATTGGGCAAGCTTTTCCAAATATTTTGCAAGTTTTGCTTTCCTCTGTACCCTATTCCAGAACAAAGCTATTTTATTCTGCTTTATCACTCCATGCCTGTTGCATAAGTCAGCTTCTAATGCTTGTTAGTTTTATGGGTCTCAGCTGGAAGGTTACTTAATGTTGTTATAGTTGGTCCTTTTAAATGGGCAGCATGATGAATACCTTGTTGTTCACCTGTACACTCTAGAAGTTATTTTAGAGTAAATTTGATATGCCTCCCATGGCACCATTCTGTCAGGTTTTATATGGGTCAGATTCTTTACAGTAAGTGTCTGTGACTTATTGGAGATAAATGTCAACAATAAACAAACAGTACACAATCCACTTGTTTTAAAATAACATATACTCAAAAAAAAGTTAGACGAATGTACAAATATTTTACACTAGGTGTCTGTGACTTATTGGCGATAAATTTCAACAATAAACAGACAGCACACAATCCACTTGTTTTAAAATAACATATACTCAAAACAAGTTAAACGTATGTACAAATATTTTTTACACTGTTGGTTATCACAGTTATATGCAGAGCTTTAAATAATTGTCCCTTTTTGTCAATGTCCACACAAACTGGTTCAATTACTTTAGTACCCAATTGACAAGATGAATCATTTCTTCTCTCCTCTGTTATCACAATACAATCAGTGATAAATTAAATTATGCTCACCCATAAATGATATTTTAGGCTGTAATTGTTAGTGTGTGTCATGATATAAAAGACTTTTTAGTTTAGATGTTATTGAGTGATTTGTTTTGTGAGTGAATATTTTATTATTGTTTAGTTTTTGTTATAATAAGAGTTAAAAGCAGACAATTGTGGGAGGTTTTTGTTAATAATTCATTGATATTGAGACTATTGAATGTCACGTGCAATATACTGACATCAAA